ACCTTTTTAGTCAAATGTTAAACAGAAGGAGCAGTATTTTCACAGTGACATGGAAGTAAAACAGAGTGAGAGAAAATAAGGTGCTAAGTGCATTTGAGTGCGTAAATCAGATAATTTCATGTTTAACTGATGTGATGGATGGGAGGAGTGCTGTTTTTTCTAAACATTCCAGCATTTAGCAACTAAAGGGTTAAACCCAGGCTGCTAGGATGTGTTGGCAGGGAGCCAAGAGAACCACTGGGAATAAAGTGTTGAGATCTGAATTGAAAGGTAATCTGCCTGCTGCTTCTCTTGTGGGGAGTTTTTTAATCAGGAGCTGGGGGGGAGAGGGAAGATAAATTGAACCACAGGGATACCCATGCCCAGAAAAGGAATGCCTATGCCTAGAAATGCACTAGACCTTGAAGCTGTAGATATGTAAGTTATAGGGAATGTTTATTTGGACACGATTTGGTTATTTTCTTTGTTTTGTTGTTTGGTTAAACTCTGTGCTGAGTTCTTTCCCTCCCCCTTCCCAAAATACAGTATAACTGAAGCTGAATCCCAGGGAAGCAATTCTGTGTTTCAATTTGGTTTTTTTTAGCTACTCTAGAAATCTTTACCAATTATATCTTTTTGTTTTGTTAATAAAATCACCTTATTTCAGGCTATGATCTGATTCTTGTGTCCTACAAGGTAATAGGAGGTCTCTGTATGCATGCCTAAGACTGAGAAGTCAGCTATCAGAAATTACAATTTGTTTTCTTCCCCCCCTTCCCCAAGATCTCTTGTGGTAAAAGAGCTTGGGGTACCCCTCTGGAAGAGATTCCCAAGTGATTTCTTCCTGGGTTCAAAAATAAAGGGTTTTTTTATTATTATTTTTCACTTGGATGGTGGCAGCATCCCTTCCAAGGTCAGGAAATCTGACCTTGGAGAGGTTTTTAAGCTGAAGTTTATACTGGCAAGATATTTTTTAAGGTCTCTTCCGGGCCCCCACCTTCTGCATTCGGAGTGCCAGAGTGGGAAACAGCCTTGACTGTGGCTTTAAGGGGACTTCCACCATAGGCAGTTTTGAGTCAGTTTACTCAGTCCTCTGTGAAATAAAGCCCTCTCTCATGGTCCATTTTGAGTGAAAGACACCTTCACAGCATATTTGATAAATGAAATCTCTAAATTATTGATATGTTATGTCTGAAAAAGAAATACTCTCTTCTGGAGCTGGATTTTTTTAATTAGAATCTAACCTCATAATATTTAAATAATGGAGAATAAAAATCATGGCTCAAGGGATAATTTAGAATACCAAACAGACTACAGTTAAAGTAGGCAACTCATCTTTATTGATGCTTGCTGAAAAAGAGTAATATGTTGCTTGGTGTTATCAGGCCCCATCCCTTTTGCACAATGATTGAAGGGTTGGGTCCTATCATTAGCCTACACTGAAGTATGCTGTGGTACAAGGTTAAAGGAAATGTCTCAGTAATGAAAAAGATACCAGTGTTGGTTGTATGTTCAAGACAGCACATGAAGTAGTTTACTACACGCGGTCCAAAAAAAAAAAAAAAAAGATTTTGAGAATTAATTGTGCCAAATATTCTAATGTAGTAAGTTTATGAAGACACAACCTTTTAACATTTCAAAATAGACATTTTTACTGTCATACATTGCTAGGTTTCCTTTGATGACTGCCAGTAACAGATTGGGAGATAGCCTTAATAAGAGTCACGCTGTCACGCTCATGGTGCAGAGAAAGAGGTGGACTGAATTACATTGATCTAGGTGGGATTTTGAAACAAACTGATTTATGACTATATAGAGATTTGTGAAGAGTGGAAGGGAGGAGGCAATAATGCAAACCCTCATCGTGAAGGATTAGGGAAATAAGCTAAGCTTGTGAAACCGTTAGAGGAGTGGGAGAGGGAATGGCACATTTTATTTTGGCTCAACCATGTAGTAGCACTCCCTGTAGAGCTAACACCTTTGGATTTGGATAGTACAAAGGATCTGATATGTAGTTTCAAATTCACATGCAAATTTCAGCCACTGAATGGAGTATCCCACCAACCTTGCTTGGGCTGGCTTAAGAGATAGCAACATAACAGTTGGAAGAGAGAGTAGAATTATATATGTTTGCACTGCTAAGGGGAAGAAAGAGCATGAGCTGTACAATGATGCATTTATCTAACAATGAGGGAAAGTTAAAGATTCCACTTCAGCCAGCAGTCTTGTAGACGAAAAAAGCATTAAAATTCCTATCTTTCTTGACTCTGAGGTGTTAAATTGACAATAATACATTGGGATCCATCAAAGGAAGTTTAAATATATACCCACCCAAATTTCATATGCAGAGAGAGAGAGAAAGAGATTAGAGATAGAGATGGGTTGATTAAATAAATAAAAGTTAGATTCAGGGAGAGATACACATCAGCAATAAAAACAAAAGCACAATCACCTTTTTATCATGTGATTTGGTACATCGTATGAACCGTGACTGGATCACAGATCTCAAGGGTCTGGACAAGCACATTTCTCTTGATCACTTGAACAATTAAATATCACTGCTTAAGAAGTGAAACAGGGATTGTTTTATTTTCCTGAAAATGCCTAAGTGATGATATCGAATTATAAGCAGATGATACATGCTGTGTTCAGTAGTGACTATCATGACCAATGAATGCCCATGTTGGATGTTGTGGAACAATGGTGCAAGAAGTGTAGCTCTAAGGGTATGTCTATACTTTGAGATGGAAGTGCAATTTCTAGCTGAAGGAGACATGCCTGCACCAGCTCCAATCAAGCTAAGGTGCTAAAAATAGAAGAGTAATCACGGTGGTACTGTTAGTCATGTGTGTTCTGAGTGTCTCCAATGGGCTTGTACTCAGGGTTGTTAGCCCCTCCCACTGTGTGCACAGAATCACAGCTAAGGCACCTATGTCTCTTCAAACTGGAAATCTTATCTCCAGCTTAATAGGCAGACATGCCCCAGGACTTTTTCACCTAATATGGTCTGATCTTGTCAAGAATTATAGGTTAAGAAAAAGTTATTTATATATTTAAAATCTGGTTCTCTTGTACCTCTCATTGTAAAAACATTAGGTTTAAACATGTAAATAATGGTAGCTAGAATAAAATTATTGGCAATAGCAACAATCATATTAGGCTAGACTGACTTAGTCTACAGGAGTAATAACCCCCCTTACTCTTGTGTGGGCTACAGGACTGTGTGCCCTGGGGGCTGTAGGTGCTGTGTGCTCCTTACTCCCTCTGTGTCAGTGAACCCAGCTGAGCTGGTACAGGAGGATTTTGTAAGTAGTTGTTGGTAAAGGCCAGTACCATTTCCTCTCCTCTCCCCAAAATGAGGGAGGAGGAGAATGGGAATTGTACCTTAGAGCGGTGCTTGATACTCCCCATGTCCATTTGTGGTACAGCTTCTACACCACCCTTTGTCAGGCTGTGCCTAAAGGCATAATTTAGTACATTATAGCCTAAACTTTCTGATCACGAAACCCAAAACCTGCTTTAGAAAAAATCTGAAACTTTTGTTTTCTGATGAGCCTGTCATCAGTTTCTCCAAACAAAATATTGTGCAGCAGGACTAACGTGAATAGAACTAGAAAAAGGTGGAAATTCTAAAGAATGTTACCAAGATCCATTCCTAAAATGGTAACACCTTTGATTTTATAATAAATGAAATCAATGTTCACAAAAATGCTGGTCATTCAACATTTCAATAAGAGAAGGTACAACCTACAAGCAGTAAAAATGTCAGTCAAGCATTAAAGAGTTTAAAAACAAATGTATCAAATGTTTGAAGAAAAAGTCTAATTTGTTATCTGTTAAATGTGGTGTGGCTTTTAAATATGCCAGCTGTTATCTGCTAGCCTACAATTAATAGTACTCGACCAGGGTAAAATTCCAAAAAGGACATATGGGTATGTCGACATTGCATACTAATTCCCAACCCAGAACACAGTATAGCAAGAGTTTAAAAACAAATGTATCAAATGTTTGAAGAAAAAGTCTAATTTGTTATCTGTTAAATGTGGTGTGGCTTTTAAATATGCCAGCTGTTATCTGCTAGCCTACAATTAATAGTACTCGACCAGGGTAAAATTCCAAAAAGGACATATGGGTATGTCGACATTGCATACTAATTCCCAACCCAGAACACAGTATAGCCC